TTAGTTTCTTAGCTTTATATAATGGTTGGGAATAAGATAATAGTCTAGAAATATGTATTAATGCTTCTTTTATCATTTTACAAAATATCTTTGCATATTTCCCCTCGACATTTCCGACATATGTCCTATATTTTGGTAAGCGACATTTCCGTCGACATCGACATTTTAAACCTTGGTCTTGAATGTGTTGGATAGAATTTTTGAAAGGCTATATATATATATATTCAAATATTGTTATTGGGCCATGTGCCTATTTTAGTTTTTTATAGGTCTTTTTTTTATTACCACCTTACTAGGGGCACTTCTATATATATATATTTTTTTTCATATTCCACATGTAGACAAAAGGGTGTTGGGGGGGGGGATCCAATTATGAGCACCACCATCTGATTTTATCTCCACCCCTCTTCCTTCTTTCTTTTATTTTTTTTGGTCTCTTTTCTATTATCTTCTTTTAACACCAGATTTTTATTATTTTATTAATTGTTACTGAATTATTCAACAACATAAAGATTACTAAACACTCTAAAGCACATGAAATTGCCCCAAAAATAAGTAGATATCCTTAAGAGCATTCTAAAAAGAGATTTTTTTGATCCATTAAAGGTTGGCATGCATTTGTGGAAAGAAAACAACTTTAAGAACTTGTATTTACCAAAATAAGTCGTAAAAATAATAAAATTCTAATTTAAAAACTCAAAAGAGACATTATCCAATGCTGATCTTGGAAATCCAGGTCTTAACAGAGGTGGAGTGGATATAGACCTAACCCACATTTTCATGCTTGTCAGCCTGTCATTAAACCATTGCAGTATTGCACCAATAAATTGCCTCTCTAATTTAGAAACTCAAATAACCCTAAAATAAAGTACCCCATCACAGACTCAAGTTTCTTGTAAATTTTCCATAACAGAATCTGTTACGACAATCAGATTACTAACAAACTGGTACAGGAAGAAGAATGTGCTCCGCTGAGAGCTCCTCATTAGATTGCCTTTAAAGTTTCCTTACAAGGGTGTTCTACACTCCCTGTGCAGGTTAACCTGTAACTAACTCTGTGCTGATGTGGACTTCTTGGAGTACACAAATCTGATAGGCGGTTTGTACCCCGCTCCAAGGGTGTTCTATGTATGTGTGCATGTCTTGTACCCTCTACAGATTCCTAACTAACAGAAGAGAAAAATCAAATATCAATTTAACATTGGCAAAAAGTTTATATCATTAGTATGTACCTATACCGGACAAACTCAGATAATGCAGCTGCTGCAGATTCTCTTTGATATGTTTGGTGTCCATTCAAAGCTTTACAAAGATTTATGCATATTGCTGGAACCTGGATTTTAAAGTCATGAGAAAATGTATCTGATGTATTACTACTAAGCTGCCATCACATTTCTTCTCTCACATAATGTTTTAGGGAAAGGAATTCAAGCATAATGACATTTCAACTTAAAAGTGCAAAGACAAGAAAGCCCATCATTTCTCAAAAATAAAAAAAAAGAAAAGAAAGCCATCATATTTTCTAAGAAACAAACAAAATGTGGGGTGAAAATTAAAGATTGACTTTTTAACTGCTATTACTTGAGTTCAGAAGTTTTCATATAAGAGAAGATTTGCGACTTCCTGCTAATTGTGCTGTGACAGATGATGACCCAAAATGGCCTTCTAGGGTTTAGTGGAACGCCTCGCGTCACGCCTCCGTGTTTTAACATTGATTGAGAGAGAGGCTACAAGAGGCGAAGTGGCAAGTAGGAAATAGGGAGCTAATGGAAATGACTTTGAGGCTCAAGAAGTGAAATAAGTGATGTTCTCCATGGATAGTGGATAGATAGATCAAAATCTCCAGGACTGGATGGCTTTCCAATGACATTTTAGCAAGATTGTTGGGACATCTTAGAGGTTTTGAGGAATTCTTTGAGAGAGGCAAAATAAATTCGGGTGCTAATGCTACTTATTGAATTAATTCCAAAAATCAAGGATGCAAACCACCCAAAAGATTTTAGACCTATTAGCTTGGTGGGCAGCATGTATAAAATCATAGCAAAGGTGCTGGCCTTGAGGACAAAAAGGTCCAATCCTTCTTAATTTCCCCACGTGAAGGAGCTTTTGTTCTTGGGAGACAAATCATTGATCAAACATTGATTGATAATGAGTAATGTGGACTATAGGAAGAGAAAAGGGGAGAAAGGTCTGATTTGCAAACTGGATTTAGAAAAGGCATATGATATAGAAGATTGGGACTTTATTTTGGAAGTTTTGAGGAGAAGGGGTTTTGGCAAGAGGTGGTGCAAGTGAGACTAAGGACTTTATTGTAGTGGGTGTTTCTAGGAAGCTAGAAAAAATTATGAGGGACTTCTTATAGGAACTTGGTGAGACTAAGGACCATTTGTTAAGGTCGGAGGTGGTATCTAAGAGCAAGGAACAAGGGGGCTTAGATATGAAGAGGAATTTAGATTTTTTGGAGAAATGGATTTGAAGGTGGCCCATTGAGAAGGATGGTTGTGGCATAAAATGATAGCGAGTATACATGGTGAGGCAACTAATAGTTGGGATGCTGGTCTTGACCCTAGGGCTTATCGTTCATCCCCTTGGAAATCCATACATGTAAACTATTCCTTCCCTTTGTCCTTTCCTTAGGTATTATGCTTGTTCTGGTAACGAAGTACTTTTTTGGGAAGATGCAGGGGATGTTTCTCTCATGGAGAGGGCTAGGGAGGCTGAAATGGGGGCAATGGATGAACTTCTATCCCTGTTTAACACAACTTTTTTGGATCCCTCTTGTGAGGATAGTAGGATTTGGTTGGCCTCCCTTCTGATCTTTTTTTTTGTTCTTCTCTGTTCAATGCCCTTCTCCTTTCTTCAAATTTGGTAGTGTCTTTTCCATCTAAAGAAGTTTAGTATAGGCTAGTGCCTCTAAAAATTGGATTTTTGTTGGGAAGTGGTCCACAAGAGGATCAATACCTGTGATGTGTTTCAAAGAAGAAGGCCAAATTGGTCCTCTCCCTTCATATCTGTATCTTTTGCTTTAGTCTTGTACTGAGACTGCTGAACACATACTAATCTCCTATCCTTTTGTCTCATATATTTGGTAGTGGTTCTCTTCTCTTTTCGGTTGAAAATGGACCCCCTCCTACTATGGAAGCCCTTTTTTAAGCAAGTTATTTTAGGCAACCAAAGAAAAGGGGTAGAGTTACGTGGAGAGCATAGTTTTCAAGGCGCCAAGGCAAAGCTAGGCAACAGGGGGGGCACCTTGTTGCCTAGTCGCCTAGGCGATGGATTTTTTAAAGTAAAAATCACATATCCTAGGGTAGTTCCCTAGGTTCGATAACCAACTTTCTTTAATAACTATCCATAATTTTCATAAGAAAATTATAAACTTCATCTGTAAGTCTAGAAAATCAACATATTTATGAGAAGAAAAAGAAGAAAGGAAAGAAAATTCAAAAAATATAGGGGCTGAGCCTCTATTTTTGTTATAGGAACAGAAGAAAAGAAAAGGTGAAAGAGATGTGGAAGAAGAAATGTGTTGATTAGACAAAATTTTAAGTTCTTCCCTTACTTATTGGTTTGGATTTTGAAGTCATTGAGGGTTCARTACAGCAGTTAGCAATGTTTGTGTTGATTAAACCCTAACAAATAAGAAAATAATAAAAAGAAATTAGTTTCTAAACACAAAAAATGAATATGTTTCCTAGGCGACTGGGCGAGGCGAGCCTCCAAGGGCACCTTGTTGCCTAGGCGTCGCCTTGACAACTATGGTGGAGAGCCACAAGAATAGCAATTTCATGGGCAAGGAAGAAAGAAACAATATGAGCTTTCAAGGGAGTGGAAAATAAAAGGAGGAATTGATTGCTTGCATCACTATCAAGGTGGTACATTGGGTAGGTAAAAACACTAGAGTTGTTTAAGGAGTTCTCAGTGGATGATATAATCAGGGGCTGGAATGTAGTAGCCAACTCTTAAAGATCCAAAGCTTTTTTTTTTTTTTTTGTAATAAATGAATGCCGATTTTATTAAGAAGAGAATATGTAATACCTACAAGATCCAAAGCTTCAATTCAAGAAATTTGAGCACCACCTACACAACAAAGGATAGAACTCAATTTTGATGGGTTCACTTAGTAGTCCATGGCCTTTGGGTGTAGGGGGAGTTCTAAGAGACAGGGAAGGTAAAATCTTGGCTATTTACTCAGAACCTACAGGGTTGGGTGACTTGTTAAGAGCTAAGTTGTTAACTCTATGATAGGGATTGAGATTGGTTAAACAAATGGGACTACATCAGATTGAAGCAGCAGGGGACTCTAGGATAGTAATAGATTGGATGCAAGATGGAAATCTGGAAATCTGGACTCATAGGCAAGTCATGAGAGAAATATGGAATCTTACATGTGAAAATGATGTAACATTCAGATGGGTTAAAAGATCAGCCAATGGCTTGGCTGATGGATTAGCGAAACAAGGACCAACAAGGGGTGAACTTTTTGGCAGTTTTGTGATAGAGGATTGCTTCGTGGGGCAGCACTTCTCTTTTGGAGTGTCTGATGTGTGATTATCTACTGATATAATGAATAAAGTTATTATTTCCAATAAAAAAGATACTAGAAATATGTAGACATTTTAAACCATAGCTCTGGGCCTCATCCTATGATTCATCATTTCTCATAAAATCAATATAGCATGTATAAATTAGCACAATTGTGCATCTATCCAGTCCTTACTTTCTTTTTTCAGTGGCCAAAAAGCCAAAAGAAAAAAGATACATATCAATATGACCAATACATGATCAATATTTTAATCATTGCTTGCCACCATCATCTCAAAATCCTCAACTTCATTACATTCACTTTATTTATTTAGGATCAATTATGAGAAGGTAATGAAGAGAAAGTTAGAAAAGATATTTCCAAGAGGCTGCTATTTTACTACTATCCCCTATCATATAGGTTCATTTATTCGTGAGCTGTCCCCTCTATCTATAGCTTCAAGTAAGATAAAACCTAGGTCATTCTTGGACAGAATGAGTTCCAATGATCCATAAGGGCACAGCCTTGTTGTCTCATCAAGGTCTTGTGGGAAATGGTGATTCAGGAATCAGGAAGTGTAGAGCTTTTATATCTCCTCCAAATGCTTAGACTTCATTCATTTCTGGCTTCAAGATGTTCATCACTTATAGGGATCCTTGGTTGGATAAGAGATAAATCATCATTTTGTATTTCATTTCCAAGGGCTTGGATAATCAGTGATTTGGACTCTAAAACATTCCTCTATGATCACTGCTTTGCGGTTAACCTTTTCCACAATCAGAACTGTGACATCTTCAAGCAACAAAAATAATGGTAGCCACACTTTGTAAGCTTTCTAAAACCTACATCAATGGATCTATTAGATTGAACCCCATATCTAAACATGGATCAGATCACATACTGTCCCAAAAGTTGAAGCCTGGGCCAGGCAATAATAGAATGTTGAATTTTATTAGGAAGGTGTGTTCCACCACCTATTATATCATGTAAATATTCACAAGAGGGCATGAACATTTTTTGTTCACATGCTAATAGATCATAAGGATTTTCAAAGAATACATGCTTCCTCATGCATGATTCGGAATTAATGAATTAGACAAACATGGTTTAATGATTGATATAAGGCATGTGCCCTATATGCAAGTTTATAACTAGGATCTTCAGCATATTGCACATGTTATGTAAAGGCCATTTCTCAATGTTGATCCCAGCTATCTAGGATCTTGGGACAGTAGTCCGGGTACAATTCTTACATATTGCATATATTATGTAAAGTCATTAAATTCTTAGATTTGCACCTTCTCAAAAATAAAGAGTTCCAAGAATAATTTACATTGACATAGTAGGACAAGTTGTTTTCTGTCCCTTTGGAATACTAGGGAGGAAAGAAACTCCTGCATTTCCAGGATCACTATCTTTCTCTGGCTCTGGGTTCCTTCTCTGTTTTCTCTTCTTAATAACATGCATTAACATGAATGAGGAAAGAATATGAAATGATTATAATTAACATATCTTATTACCTCTTTAGGTCTTTTTATAGATATGCAGCCAGCCAAATCCCCAATAAGAGTGACCCACTTCTCATTTTCATTTTGTTCTCCATCTCTGGCTAATATCTACACATAATACCTTGACAATCATTTGTCATACACATTGCATCAGAACAATTACTAATTGCAGGTCTATGTCTAATGGTACCTTTCCCATTTCAAGATCCCCAACACATTCACAGAATGCCTGGAAAGCTGCCAAAAGAGTCCTGTAAAACAATACATGAGAACAAAGTGCATTCGCTGGAGGGAGAGAAATAAATGCAGGATACGTACCGCAAGCTTTCCTGCTGATCAGATCCTGCTAGACCATGGCAACTTCCCAAATGAAGTGTAAGCGTAGAAAGAACAGCAGCATAACTTTGCTCAACAGATTTTTTCCCAACCTTTCCACCACCCCTGCAATACAGATAAAATACTGCAAGATTGTGATGGCCCATAAAGGAAACAAATGAGGTACCAAGAATTGGTTTAAAGAACAGAAACCTGAACAAGGCAGTTAGAGCAAGAAGAGCTGCTTGGAGAATGTTGTCCTCAATTTGAGTGTCAAACAAATTACAACTGCCTCCTTTCTCTGAATCAGCTTTTGGGATTGGTGTGTGGTTAAGAATAGATACCACATGCTCAAGGAAAAGAACTGAGAGTACTGTATGCTGGGAAAATACCTAGAACAAGAAAATGATGATGAAGAAATAAGTGAAAACAGGCCATACAAGCATGCAGATAATCTTTAAAAGCCATTTGAAATAAGCAAGGATTAAAGTTTCAGCATTTGGGGTTAGTATTGGTAAGTCGCTTCTAAGAATGGATATGCAACAACTACACTCAAGGTCTGAGATTTCATTTTCACTGAAAAACCCACCATGTAGAAAAGGGAATTTTTGAGAATCTTGCTTAGAAAAGTAAAAAAAATGAGAAGTTGAAGTTTAGGAAGAAAATGGGATTTAGCAGTTGAAATCCATGGGATATTAATTACAGGACTTAAAAGTCTACACCACAAAACTAAGTATGACAGATAAGAGCTGTATAGATGTTCCATCATTCTTCTTCATGCCTCCACCAGGTTAATGTCTCCTTTCCATCCTTTCCTTGAACAACTTTTCAATACTTGGCCTTTAAGAATTCTCTCTTTTTCACAACATATATCTTTTGGGAAATAGTTTTCTTGAGTTGATATCAAACAACCATGTTAACCCCCAGTTTCTTTCTACTTTATATTATTATTGTACTCTACAATTCATATTTCTGACTCGACAAAATTCTGTTCAGTCACTGACAAGAAAAAGGAATAAATGAAACAACCATTATAAATATAAATAAGTCATATATATATTTCCCCATACAACAGGGTAAGAATATGTGCTTTTCATCTTCACACCATGTACCTACTCGTAATTCAAATGTTTCTTATTTTGAGTTTAATAGACTGTGAAAACCTTCCTATTCACCATCAGCCATATAAATGTTCATACTCTTGAAGCAACTGGATTAACTCAAATTCTAGCCACCCCAGATATCTGATCCACCAACCGATGGTCCTCCTTTAGATCCTCTAAATCTTCTTTATCTTGAAAGGCACAAAAGTTATCCAGGGCTCCCAAGAGCACCAAACATTCCCCAATCTCTTTTTGTAGCAATTGTCCACTCAAAGTGGGGTTTCAACAGCACCTTTTCCCGCTCATTTTCATAGCACTTGTTCATTTTTTTTTGAAATGGTAAAAGAAAAGATTCATTAAAAGAAAAAAGATGATTACAATCACTCTGGTGTTGAGGGATCGCCGGGGCATAGGCAAATAGAACACAAAAAATTCCAAAATTACAATTTTGTAGTTCAAAACATTCCAAAAGTCAGCCCCTAGCTCTGATCGGCAAACATGATCCAACTCAGGTAAGATGAACACCCAATCTGCAACAGATGTTCTGATGGTTGCCACAGTCTTCTCAACCTTCCATCGTCCCCACCTTCTATCCTACTTTTGAGAGGACACAAGGGTTCCAAATCGTCACTATTGAATTTTTGCAAAAGAGATGAACCCATGCAACTGAAAGTGGAATGCCACTTTGAGAATGATAATCAATTTATCTTCATGGCATTTTGTTAAACACTTTTTTCTTTCTATCACAGGAGTGGTGTTGTGATTTCACTCTATATGATTACTATTAGTATTACTATTACTATTAGTATTACTATTATTATGAGGGCCTACTAAAGCCAATCCATTTTTCATCTAAAATCAGTCAAATATTTATCAAGGAACCTGTTTTGGTTCATGAGATCATATGCATGTTAGATAGCTAACTGAATAACTACTCTAAGACAGTGAATAAAGTGAAAACTTCAAGTTCTGACACCTAAATATAAGGTCACAAATGACCAGATGGATCTGCAACTCGAACCAATTGGATTGATTTGCAATAACTGGCTATTTAACTTAATATGGGATTATAAACAGATGCACAAGGGTGTTCTGAAGTACATTATGAAGTATTAAGACAGTTAAAACCATCTCATGACTATATAATTGCACATTTAAGACAAAACATAGCAAACAACTGTTTATCAAATAAGAAGGATCAAGAGACTTGAATAGGTTTCCCTTTTTGTTTCCCCCATTAGTCTTTTAGCCATCTTCTCTTCTATATAATTCATTTGCTTTCCAAGTTGCTTTGTCTCTTTTTATTACTATATTGTTTGATTAGATTGAGAATCCTCTTTTCCAGTTTGTCCTTTCTCTCTCTGTCTCTCTCTCTTTTTTGAATTATAGTAGATTAATGACTTGGTGAATCACATTCACCTTATATGTTCTTTCAAGAATAGGTCCAAAAATGTCCAACGATTTTAGTGAGATATCAGAAAGTTTTGGCAACATCATAAAATGTTAAGTCTTATATGTTTAATTTATCAATGAACTTTGAGATATCCCCAATAATTCAGAAATATATTGGAGATAAAAGGAAAAAAAGAGTTTTGAAATATTTCATATTGCCCCCTAGTGAAATGGGGAGATTTCAGGAAAATTCTGCCAAATCTTACTGATATTGTAAAACATGCTTTGAAATACTAAAAACTTTTATACAAAACTTTCAAGCATACATCAACTACAATCAATCCATTAAGAATCAAATGGGACTCACATAGAAGGCATCCTGCATTGGCCAGCCACCACGTAACCTGGATATATCCTTTCTCAATATATCCCTTCCTGCAACAGCTAATACTTCATTGAACACAACTTGTGAACTGGTGTTCTCAGCTAGACAGGATATCTTGTATATATAGTTAAGGACAGAAAGAATAAATAGTGTGGCAGTTGGATTTGTACATGGTACTGAACTCAGATAGATCAAATTTCTTGTAAAGTAAGATCAACAGAAAAACAAAAACAATCAGGAAAAGGATACAGCACCAAGAATTTCATGGCGCAAATGTTTCTCAGGTACAAGCAATGTTGCAGAGAGCAAAGCATGTGTTGTCCTGTAGATATCAAAATGGACATTAGATTTTATTTTCTGTTCTTTTCTTTTTACAGATACTTCATGCAACTAAATAAAAGGCCTGTTCATAAATAAGAACCTTGAAACATCCATTTCGTTCAACTCAATTCCCCTTCTTGTAACAAACTCAACCACAGCTTGAATGGCCCCTTCTGCTGATTGTCTGACCTTATCGCATATAGCAGCAGTACAACCATGTAAGGTGCCTACAAGCTATTCAAAAAATGTTAATAAAATGAATATTCTAACTCAAAATAATGAATTCACATATATCCATGAAAAGTAAAACAAGAAAAAAATCCATTACCTCATCTTTAGTTAGCAAATTGCAGACAGAGGATAATACCCTATTAAAAACCTCTGACTGGTCAATAGAAGTATCCTGAAGATAGAATATGGAAAAAAAAGTCCAGGTTAGAGATGGCAGACAGATCCAAACATTATAAGCAAGAATTGAAGAACAATGTGAAAGCAAGGAAATGGCCAAAGTCAGTAGAAGATATGCTTACACTTCTCAAAATGGCAATGACATCCTCAAGGGAGGACAAAGCACCATAAGACAATTCTGCATTGAAACTAATGTTGGATTCTGCTGGTCTTGGGAGTGAAAGAGATATGCTGAATAGTATATCAAGAATCTACAAGAATACGAGACAACCACTTTATTATATCATAACTAGGAAAATATGAGGCAAAATACAAAGAAATTTATTTGATAGAACAATTAATATTGGTTTGAAGTATAACTAAATGCATAATGGACACTGTTTCATAATTACTCACCTGGGCTGAAACTTTTCTGACTTCGGCACTAGTATCAGCACAACGTGGAAGATAAACTATGACTCTTTCTCCCAGACATAAGGAGGCCCGACTTGGCAATACAAATGCTGCTGGTAAATTAACAAAGAAATAGTACATGTAAGATAAGGGCCCTATTGCTATAGAATGTGGCCTAGAATGAAAATGACAATGTCAAAGATGGAGAAAAATGGATAGAAAGCTATGTTGCAAGGAACATTGTTACATGGCAGGTTTGAAAAATTTCCATGAAGCATGCGGTCAATTTGCTTGGTGTGCACACAACTCCCATGGCAACCAAGGGTACAATATCCACTGGAACAAAGTGCTCGGAACTTCAGAAGCATCTCATGAACTGCTATGCAACCTCTCTTTCTTTGATGTTCCATGGAAGAGGAGATATACAGATCAATTTGTCTAAGAATATGTAATAACTGCTCTGCTCGACTTCTACCATCTTCCCCACTAATAAGGCAAATCATTATTTTGGCAAAGACACATGTGAAGCCAGAATGTTGTTAGTATAAATGGTAAACAGGTGGTATATCCATTAGCACCATAATATTAAATAGAACTGAGTGTCCACTACTAATCAGTACACTGGATATAAAGCACGTATGTTTGTGACAGAAAAAAAAAGGTGAAAAAGGGAACTGATGTTCCAATGTAACTAGCATGCATCATACAATGTAAAAGGTATGCAAATATGCATGTAAAGTGAATATAGAAAGAAAATAAGCTCTGATGTCAATCTAGATGCATATACTCCAGTATCAAGTTATCAATGGCAAACAAAAATTACAATAATGCCATAATTAGCAAAAGCCTAGCATCTCCATGAGCACAAATAAAATCTAATAATGCCCCTGATTGGTTTCATTGAGAGAAGCTCCCTTCTCTTCTCTATGTGGTTGTCTCCTATCCTATTACCAAGTTATTGCTTGGCTTTCTTTGTGGTTTTCTCAACATTGTATATTGAGCAAAACACCATGGACATTCATGTGTATGTCTGTTAAATATATACTGTTAAAATACAGTGTCTTTGTAGGGTATTTTGGTCTTTTTCATTTCCTTTTTAAGTTCTGTTTTGTCTCTGTTCATTTATTAGAGTAACAGGGGGGTATCACTGTAATTTCCTTTTTTGTTTGAATATAACATATTGGGCGGCAGCTGTGTCTCTCTCGACAGAGACTGGTTTTCCCTATTCTGTCGTCTCCCTCTTCTCTTCTTCTTCTCCATCACTTCTCCATCCAGACTTATACTAGAACGTTTTCCTTTATTTATTTAACTAAACAGGCCTGATAACATATACAATTCACTCAACAAATTAAACAAGACTCCAAATATTCAGACAATCATTACTTATTTAGAAATTGAAACCATACCTATTCAGACATCTGGACCATTTCTAGAGAAATCATGTGATACATTTAATATAACATTCATTCCAAATAAGTCTATGAAATGTGATTTTATAATAAGAAATAATACCTTGTAAGAAGAATCGCACATAAGAGAGTTATGAGATTGTTTATAAGGGGATCAACAATATCTGAGGGATCACTTGGCAAAGCAAAGAAACCTAAAGTGGCCTGTCAATGACATCACACATTATTTGGAAGATTAAGAAACAAATCAGTAAAATAGATAACTTCCTGAGGCATAAAATAACTAAACAAATCAATACCTTCATGACATGATTTCTTGTCTCAATCGTTAACTTTGGCTCCACAGAAACCAAAGTGGTACAGGCACTTAAAGCAAGGCTCTGTTCAAGCATTAAGAAACCAAATAAAACTTTTAAGAAAGTTTTCTGAATTGTCTATTCTATATATTCTTTGATCATCAATTATTGAAAAATAAAAAGGAAAATGATAAGATCAAAATAATTTTTACGGAATAAAAAAAATTATTCCAAACACTTTGTGGCATGTCAGGTTAGCACCATTGTTTAGAAGAAGATACTTTTATGGATTCCTTAAAACCATAACCAAAATGACATGCATGTTTCTAGTCTGTAAACACCTCCAAAGCATATGAAAAGAAGATACAGTCAACTTGAGGTTTAACCAAACCACCAAAATGATAAGATCTTGAGCTAAAAGACAGATAGCCTCCACCATGAATGGTGACAAGGATTTCTTAATATATTATTAGAAAGGAAAAGGTGACCCAGAATAAAGCTTGTATGATTTGTAATTGGGGTTGTAGGCATAAAATGTATAGTAGAGGCTTCGGGAAGAGGGTGGAAACAAAAAAACAGAAAAAGAGTCCAGCAGGGACATAGAAAAAGGAACCTACCAAGCCCGCCCAAGTTTATACCAAAACATCCCTGTCAATACCAAAAAAGAAAGCAGCCTCACACCCTGAAACCTAAATCACAAAACCCTTTCAAGTATTTCTATCCCTTCATTAACCACCTGATCTATTGATAAAAGACATCCACTTGGTGTACTTCATTAATCTGGACCTCTCGCTCCATCTGTACCCTTTTCTACCTATACCACTTTGCAACCTTCCTCACTGAAAACATCTGTTAATGGCAAGAATTCAGGGCATTTTTGTCTATGTAATCAAGTAATCACAATCTGGGGTATTTTTGCTATTTTATGCAACTTGTTTGACAACATATATGAACCAATGACATTATGCCTGCACCCCAAGAATCTTTCTCCTCCAAACTCTTCTTTTCACTTCTCTTCGCTCCTCTTCTCCCATAGACCAACTTAGCATTTACATGTTGGTATCAGAGCAAGACATGATCTACATGCCCTGACACATTTTCGAAGAACTGCTAATGTCATGGGCTGTGCAAATGATGTCATCATCTATACACTCATTTGCCACAAGAATTTGGTCCACTATTTGTCTCCTTCAACAAAAGCTCCTTGATTTTGAGAGGTTACAAAGGACAAGACAGTTTTTTGTCTACTTGCCAAGACTTTGGCTATCACTTTACAGAGGCTACCCACAAGGCTTATGCTTCTTTGAGATCTTTTTCCCATGTTGTTTCATTATGTCTCCTATGAATCTCAATTATACGATCTTTCAAGTAGCTAAGCATCATAGAACTCATATTTTCCAAGGAAGAAAAGGACTTATGTTTTATTGATCAATTAAGGAAAGGAGTTTTATTGAGGAGTTTTGGTTTTGGAGACAGGTGGTGTAAGTGGATTTGGGGCTGTGTTAGGACTTGTCATTATTCTATCCTGGTGAACGGGAGTGTGGTTGACTTCTTTCCTACGTTGAGAGGTCTAAGACAAGGAGATCCTCTTTCCCCTTTTCTTTTCACCCTGATTGTTGATGTGCTTGGTAGATTGATACATAGAGCAGACTCGAGGAATTTGATAAGAGGGTGGAGAGTAGGAAGGGAGGAGGTTCCCTTAACACTTCTACAGTTTGCAGATGATACTATCCTGTTCTGTGAAGGAGGGAACTTCAATTGGATCCAGAATCTAAAGTTGACAATACAACTCTTTGAGCAGATATCTAACCTCAAGGTGAACTTTGATAAGAATAGTGTGGTGGGAGTGAATGTGAATGAAAGGGACCTAAGGGAATTTGCAAGTGAGCTAGGCTGTGCAATTTCGGACTGGCCCCTGACATACTTGGGCCTCCCTTTAGGAGATAATCCTAAGAGTGTTAGCTTTTGGACTCCGGTAGTGGAGAGGTTTGAGAAGAGGCTGACAGCCTGGAAGAGAAATTATCTTTCTTTAGGTGGGAGAGTCACTCTCATTAGGTTTACCCTAGCTAACCTTCCTGTCTACTATTTGTCAGTATTTAAGATCCCCTCAAAGGTTTCCAATCTTTTGGAAAAATTAATAAGGAACATTTTGTGGGAGCCTGGAGAGGAGAAGAGAGATCATAGGGTGAGTTGGGAGGTGGTCACTWGGTGTAAAAAACTAGRAGGTCTTGGGATTGGTAATTTCAAGAAAAGGAATATGGCTCTGCTGGGGAAATGGTTGTGGAGGTTTTCATTAGAAAGGGATATATTGTGGACTAAGATTGTGGCTAGCATACATGGGCAGGAAGACAATGGTTGGGATCTTGGAATCTTGGCAAGGGCCTCAACTGCTTCTCCTTGGAAATCCATTCACAATCTGCTTCCAGTTTTCTCCCCTTGGATCAGGTATGGTCTAAACTCTGGTAACCGAATAAAATTCTAGGAACAACTTTGGGTTAGGGATTCTCCTCTGAAGGACCTGTTTCCTTCCTTGTATGCTCTATCAGACTTGAAAAATGAATCCATATCTTCTTTCTTGGTCCCTTCAGCCTCCACTTCTGGCTTCGGGTGGAACCTAGGCCTGCGTAGGGCAATTAGGGATACAGACATGGATAGCTTGGTAACTTTGCTAGCCTCCCTTGAGATTGTCTTCCTAAACCTTGCTAAGGAAGACAACCGATTTTAGACCCCTTCTAGCTTTGGTACCTTTTCTTGTGCTTCATTCTTTGAAACCTTAACTCAGCCTCCTATCCCCTTTGGGTTGTCCTTTCCAGCTAAGGAAATTTGGAGCAGGCCTATTCCTCCTCGGGTTGGTTTTTTTGTTGGGAAATTTTCCTGGAAAGAATCAACACTTCAGACTTACTTCAGAGAAAGAGACCCAACTATTGTGTACTTCCTAATAGATGTGCTCTTTGTAAAGCTGATGGGGAATTTGGCTACCACCTCATGGTCTCTTGTAAGGCTGCTAAAACTGTATGAGAGTGGGTTTTCTCCCGCTTTGGGTGTTCTTGGTATCCTCCGGAGAGTGTCCAAGGTTTGTTTTCTCCTTTTTTCAGTTGGCCTAAGAAGCGAGGGAAGACTATGTGGAGGTGTATTAGGGCAGTGGTATGCTGGTCATTGTGGGAAGAAAGAAACTCACGTATTTTTCCTGACAAGGAAAAAACATTGGAAGATTTGTTAGATCGAATCCTTTTAAGGGCTGTCCACTG